AGCCTCTGTTTTTCTTCCACTGGTTCGTCTCTTTGCTAGGGGAGAAGGAAGAAGACAGATGAGAGAGGAGATAGGCAAATAAAAAAAAAAGTGGGGAATTAATGGTTCTGTCTCTTTTCTCCCCAAATTGGGGGGTTGGGTGGAACAGTACCCCTATCCCCCTTTTCCTTCCCTTTGTCACTAGTCTAAATCTAAAAAACGTTGGAAAGTATCTTGGGAATTGATGCTTTCCCCCATTTCCTACCCTCCCCTCCTTTTCTTTTGCAAATGAACAGAGTGTAATAGTTTTTTTGTTAGAAGGGCATTCGTATTGAATATTTGGGAAATTGTTGTGTTTGGTGGAATGGAGCATTGAGGTGTTTGTGAGGAAAATGTTTGTACCCTTGCTGTCAGTGGAAGTTAGGTGTAATCAAAATGACATTTTAGGCTTTGATAGGGTGGTGGTAGGTATTCAGACCTTTGTCTATGTGGCTGATGTATCCTCCCACAACTGTTTTAGCAGTTTGATATGTCATCTCCCTTATTGTTGTCGGTTCTGTCCTTTGGCTTTCTCTTGCTTGGCTGGCAATCCTTGTGAAGCCCCGAGCTTCTGTTGTTTCTTTTGTGATACCATGTTTTCTCCTATTGTATACAACTAACTTTTTACCCGACCTGTTGGCCAGTGAGTTTCTTTTTATCATTTATATTAATCAATTTATCTATATGTTTAAACTATTTTGGATCTTCTAAATTTTTTACATTTGCATTCATACGTGAGTATGTGGTGCATCTATAAATTAAAAATTCTCAATACTTAGTAAATTCACTTATGATGCTTCGATTCTCTGATCATCATAAATCATGTCACAAAGATATATCACGTCCCATATAGAACCTTATGTCGAGATTTGTCAACAACGATACTCAAATTTTTTTATCTTATACAATATATGTCATTCAATGAATCTCGAGTTTGGACGAACTCTCAACCAATGATGTTGCTCTGATGACGACAACTTAGTTAGAATTTTTTTATGAAGATCATATTTGTCATTCCAATTGAAAGGTTACTGTCTTAGTGTAAGATCATATTTGTCGATCAAGACACTCAATTTAATATCCTATACAATATGTACCAATTGTTAATTACTGAAGTATAATTTAGACCACCCTCAACTCATGGTCGTTGTTTAGATGTTGGTTTAAATCTCGGTCCAAGATACTCACACACTGTCGAGGGTTCTAATCTTAACATGGTCCATTGATATATAATTTTCTAACTTATCAAATATGCATTTGCTAAAATTTATTTATCTTGGGTGTTTGTTTTGGGATAAAAATTCCATTAATTATACTAATATCTTCATTTTGTTGGTGTAATGCCACATCTATTGTCAATATCTAAGCATGATACTATACTCTACGTAACAAAACGCTATCTGTACCACAATTTAACCGGATTTGTGGGCATGATGCTATACCCTAACCCTTGATGAGTGAACCCTAGGTATTAGTTATCTAAATCATAGAGCTCAACCCCTTAGATTGTGCATGTAATTTGTTGCATATATTTTGAGGAATCATGACCGTTGATTTTTATTTATAGTTAAATTGATCTTAGGCTATGAGATTTATAAATTTAAGACCTAGATTTTAATCTTTAAGGGTTTGAGGATAATACCATATGCCAAACTCCAGTCAATTCAAGGTCTAGATATCATTTTCTTACTCAAGATATGTAATTATATATATATATATATATATGGCGAGTTCTACAGTACCCTGGGTAAAATCCGGGGTACCGCTTACCTTGAGTATGAAAGCACTATCTAGACCTTGAATTGACCGTTCTTTCGGACATGATACTATACTCTAACCCTTAAAGATCAAAATCTAGGTCATAATTCTCCCAATTTTATAATCCAAGATCAATTTGATTAGAAACAATAATCGACGGTTATGATTCGTCCAAATATAGGCACAAAGAGGAAAGCATCATCTTAGGGTTTATAGATTATGATTTAGATAATTAGGACCTAGGGTTCACTCATTAAGGGTTAGGGTATAGTATCAGACCCAAAAATCCTGCTAATTCGAGGTCTAGATACCGTTTCCATAGTCAAGGTATGCGGTACCCCGGATTTCACCCGGGGTACCGTAGAAGGCACCATATATATATATATATATATATATAAAGAGTTTAATGTATTTTAAGTGTAATTAACACCTTTGTTTGACCAAAATATGTAAATTGTTAAGAAAAATAGGGGGAAATATGAACAAATGTATGAGAAAATAAGGTATGGAAGCATGCATTATAAGAGAAAAGAAAAGTTATCTTTCTTTATCGTCTTCATTTGTACAATCAGTTAATATATTATGGTTTCGCCAAGTTTCTATCAAAATGAAAAAAAAAAACTTTTGAAACACTTTGCTATTTAATACTTGTTTTCGTTGATAGATACAAACATTAGAAAAAGATAGTGTTTGATAACCAAAACATAAAATTATATAGTTGATTTTTCAAATTCAATTGATTATTAAATGTTGATTATCTAAACTTCCTTCATTATATTTTGTTTTCAAAAAAATATTTTTACTTATATGTGTGTTTAATTTATTTTGTATCGCAATATAACCTATATTAAGTTCTAATAAAAAAAAAAGAAAAATTAATTGATAAGATTTAATTAAATATATTTTTTAAAGCATTACAATATATGTCACTCTCCAAGTGTACTGTTGCTACACATATATATTGCAAAAACAATTAGTGAATAAAAAACGTTAAAAGAAGATAGAGATAGCTACATAAATGTTCATTAAAATAAAAAGAAAATATTAAAAGAATATAGATATAGCTAGATTAATTGATCATTAACTAACTTATTTGTTTGTAAAAAAAGTGTCCATCATGGCACCTTATAAATTCTCCAAATGCTTATATGGTAACAAATTACTTTTGAATTATCATAATATTATGTATGTATAGATAGATAGATAGATATAGATTTTTGCATTATACAAAAGTGTTAGGGGTGAATTTGATGGGATTGAGTAAAGATTTCCCTTTCATTGTCTCAATTTGTAATTGTACTTGTCGTTCGCATTATAGTGGTTGGCTGGTTCCATATATGGTTTTCCCCAGATTTTACTTTGCCTCTATAATTCTACTTACTATTTATCATGGTTCAAAAAGGCACACTTAATCTTACGCTTAGGCATGTCTAGGCGCAAGGCAGGGGCAAAACGCCTCGCCTTGGGGTTTCGCGCTTAATTAAATACTGGAACACGTCAATGGAGTAAGGCGACATATAAGTCTCTCCTAAACATTGATAGATGGAGCTAGGACGTCAATATTAAAGGAGAAAATTAACATCAACTACGAAAGTGAGGAAGTATTGTAAATTATTATTTCTATATCAATATTTTCAATAGCTGAACAACTTTGTGAGCTATTAAGCTATGATTCTAGAATTTGTGAACTATGTTCTTGTCATTAAGTGTTGAGTGACTTATTAATCATTTTAACTCAAGTGAGGAAGTATTGTAAATTATTTTTTCATTCATCATGCAGTGCAAATATCTTTTTTTCTTCTAACGCCTAGGCACGCTTAGTCTACGCCTAGGCGAGCTAGGCGCTAGGCAAAGCCTCAACTCCCACCTTACGCCTAGCGCCTTTTTGAACCTTGCTATTTATAAGATACTCTTTCAATTTTGGAAGCAATGAAGTCAAACAAGGTTGTTGATACTTATAAGCGGAACGTTGTGAATTTCATTCAACCAAGTTTTTTGAGGTAAAATGATAGGGCAAGAGCATAATGTTGCAATTCCTATCTCGTAGTAAATCGAAAGCCCGGGTATCCTATCTCAAGGACTGGTACAATCTTATATTCGGATGATATTATAGAGCGAAATACAAGTGAAAATGGTTTATAGAGATAAACTATTATCCAAAAGCACAACAAAATAAACTAATTAAACAAAGTAAACTTGTCGGGAGAAATTCAATGGCGAAAACTCCGAGAGAAACACGGGGACTCACTACCTATCATATTCAGATTAATTCACATAGTCTAATAAGTTTAATCTAATTCTCTATGGATAGGATATCACTAATGCGCTAGCTATCCCTTTCGGGAATTACTACTTACTAATTAGTTAAATCGAATCCTTCTACCGTCGCTCATCAAATTAACTAATTAGCCCTAACGACCGATATCCAATTCAATCACATTTGACAGAGGAAAAAAATAGTTTTCTTATCTTCCGCGGTTAGGATATTATTCCACCAACCTTTTAATTGACCAGCGAAACAGGCTATACGTAGTTCACCTATAGCGTAATCAGAAGTATAATTTTGAGGTTTGCAAGCATTAGCTACCATGGTCATTTGTTGAAGAAGGTTCAAAATTTGATATTCTGAAAATCCATCAAGATTCCATTCATAAATAGAATTGGAATTGTATTTATTTTGGATAATTGTGGGTTTCTCTTCGAGAGCTAAATCATGTGCAGTGGGACGTGGGTAATACATTTTAGGGCTAATACCACTAGGAAACCCGAACTATTAACTTTGTGTCATTTGTGTCCTAAAGTATTCGATATGAAATTTGTGTCCCAACCTATTATAGTTTTGTGTCATTTATGTCCTGACGATTTTGTTGACCGTTATATATAACGGTTGACCAGACGGTGGTCAACTTGATGTTGACTTTTGCTGACGTGGCAAACACGTGGCAGCCACATAGATGCCACATCATTGACACCTCATATTTTTAATTAAATGTTAAATAAAAATAAAATGGAGAAATTAAAAAATGAAAAATGAAAAAACTTCTCACTATCATCTCTACCGATTAGCCTTTCTCTCTTATGACTTTGTCGTCTCCGCGCAAATCGCCCAAATCCAAATCCAAATCCAAATCGCAATTGCCCACCGCATCCAACTACGTGATTGAAATTTAACGATCTCTTTACCTCTCTGTAAAGCCATCTTGGAGACTCGGGAAGCGACCACATTAGCACAAACTGAACCAGAGAGGAACTCCGGCGATTCCAAGCATCCATCGCCAAGTTCCTGGAGCCTGACCGAACAAAAACAGGAAAATTAAATTTCCAAACACAAAATAAGAAAGTAAAAGGAAGCCAAATGTGGTATTTAATTTACCTGAGTGAAGGCGAGATTGATGAGGTAAGAAACAAACTGGCCGCCGGTGATCAGCAGCCCATTAGTTCTAACCATTGCCCCTCTGATCCTCGCCGGAGAAGCTTCCGATATATAAAGCGGCGCCGTCATGGAAGCCATACCGACGCGCAAGCCGACCAAAACCCTCCCCAGAATAATCACTCCGGGAACAGGGGCCGCCGCCATAACCACTGCATCCAAATCGAAATCGCAATTGCCCACCACCGCCTTTCACCGCACAATTTTTGGCCGCCGATTCTCTCCAGCCAAATCGCTCGACCTCCACTTCCAATCAAAGTCCCACCCCATTGAGAAAAACCCTTCACTGTTCTCACATCGATTTCAACAACGTGGCGAGGCCTACCTCCAATCAAAGTCCTACCTTGAGAAAAGCAAAGAGGTCTGATTCGGTAATGATTTGGATGAGGCCACAATGCCCATATTTGTCATCCCAGAGATGCCGGAGATGATTGAAATCGCAGCGGAGATGATTGAAATCCCTAGTTCCGCTCCCCCACAACCAACGGGCCTAGCTCCACCGCAATCCGACTGGCCTAGCTCGCCACCCATATTTCTATCTCTCTCTCTTACTAGATTTGCGGTGACAGAGATGGGAAGAATGGTCTATGGCGAAACCGAGGGAGTGTTTGAGAGGCCCTTGAGGATTTGGGCGACAGATCTGTTTTGGAGAGGGGAAGCGGCGGCCATTGCTGGGGCCTGGGAAGCCAACCGAGAGGGGAAGCGACGGCCATTCCTCAGCCGCGAATTCACTTCCTCACAGTTCCACCGTGACGAGCTCGTCCATATCAAGGAGCAGCACGCCGACGATATCGAGCTTCTTGTCGCTGGAGGAAGAGGTGGGTTAATCCAGCTTGGGATTGAAGAAGATAATGATTAATCGAGGAAGAGAAGGATTAATTGTGTCCCAAAAAATAATCCACAAATCATATTTGTTTTTGTTTTTTATTTTTGTAATTTTCTTTTTTATATGAAAAAAAATTATAAATTAATAATAAAAGTTCCACGTCAGATGCCACATAAGCGCTTACTAGACTTTCTGTTAAAAACTAACTGTCAACGCTAGTCAACTCTAACGGAAAAATAGTTTAGGACAAAAATGTCATATCGAATACTTTAGACACAAATGACACAAAGTTTAATAGTTCGGGTTTCCCAGTGGTATTAGCCCTACATTTTAGAAGCAGAGGGTTGGTTCCATTTGAGACGATTGATTTCTGTTCCAATATGACCTTCTATGTATTAAATGACTTCAGCTGAGTCAGCGACGATATGATCGTCGTTGCTAGCGGATTTCGAGTCAGAAATTGTTACACCCCGCTCTTTCCAAAAGTCAAAATGACTAACATATCCTTGGGTCAAGTTCCACCGAATTACCGATGAGGATTAAAAATGTGAACTATCGGTTCAAGCGGTGTCGAATTTCGACATAAAATGAGAAAGTTACGAACATTAATCAAGTTTCGGATTAAACTCACCCGCAAGTGTGAAATTCCCAAAATAACCCCGAAGAAATTAAACCTAACCTAACCTAACCTAACCCTACTTCTCAATCGGACTCACCTAGAACCTATATTTATTAAACCTAAAACTAAACCCGGGGGAGACCTTTTAGCCGGCCATTTTTCCTTTTGCACCGCGAACACAAGACGAGGGTTCACGGAAGATGGGGCGGATCCGGAGAACCCTTGATCAAAGCCTTGGTTTCCCTTTTGCAACTTAATCTCCGCGGTCAGCAGCAGAGCAATCAGCCCTGGCGGCGCTGTTGGAAAGGGTATCGGGACACCATGGGAACAAAGTTTTTCGTCAGTGATAGGGAGGGAATCTTCGTGGAGGCGGCTTGGGGAAGCAGACATGAGGTTGGGTTACTCGCTGTCGGCAAATCTACCAAGCAAGTAGGAGGCTGATGAGAGATTGAAGCTCTCATAGCAAGCTGGTCCATTATAAAGAAGCAAGCAGCTCCATTATTGGGAAGTAATCTCGCATAGCAAGCTGGTCAAAAAAATAAACCCATACAAACCTCTTAAGCAAGCTGGTCATCAAAATAAACCCATACCAACAGGTGGAAAGAGCAGCTTGCTTAATCAAGCTGGTCCAAAATAAAGAAGCAATCAGCTCCATTATTGTGCCAAGCAAGCTGCTCCTTCCAATTGTGCCAAGTACGAGTGTAATGAGTTGGAAGCGAGTGGAACAAAATCAGAGCCAGTTACGAACAGAGGAAAGGTGAGTGTAAAGAGGGTAAATTCTACGCCTTACGGTTTTTCAAGTATTTGCTTTGAGTATTTTTTAAGTATTGATTTACGTGATGTGCATGCCGTATTTGATTCATGTTTGATATTACATGATTGTGTTTGATGATTTGTGCGATGGTTGAGCTCTGATTTGAAGTGAGTCGTGGATGAGTTTATTTCTTACTAGAAGCTTGACGTCTATGAGTTAGTGTTAAAGTTTAAGAGCAAGTACTTTTTAAGAAGTAACTCACCGTCAAGAAGGTGAAGTCGTTTTAAGTGTTTTTAGTCACTAGCGCCAATCCTTTGCCATTTGAGGTTTTCAGATAGAGCAGCAGTTATGCTCGCTCTTGAGATCTTTGAGATAGAGCAGCAGTTATGCTCTTGAGACTTTTAAGATGGGCAGCAGTTATGCTCTTGAGACTTTTAAGATGAGCAGCAGTTATGCCCTTGAGAATCGTGGTGAAGAGCCACCACGATAAGTTTAAGATGTTAAAGTGATGAATCGTTACGACTTCCCTAACTAAGTTTAAGTTTAAGGAAAGCCTGAATGGCTTCTCATACGTATGAGTAGGCAACCGGACTAGCTAGTGAGGGATCCCCGTGTCAGCCAAGTATTTAAGTCAAGATTTGAGTTTTAAAAGAGGAGAGTAACTCCAACCCTCTCAAAGTTTAAGAGTTAAGATTTTAAGATTGGAAGTACAACCAACTTCCACAAGTTAAAGTTAAGTGTTTAAGTAAAGTACTCAAGTAGTAGAAGTAATTAAAACGTAAGGGCGTAGACTGACCCCATCTCACTCACCAGTTTGAAGAGCTAGAGGAAGAGCTAGAGGAGCATTTAGTGAGCAGCGAATTCGAGGACAGGCAGCTAGATGAGGGCAGTATAAGCATCACAGAGGATGTCTAGTCAGAGATTTTCACACAAGCAGCAACACCTGAGACTAGTTAGTTATTATGTTTTATGATTATGAGTATAGACTGGAGATCAAGTTGAGTTTTTAAAGGTTGAGTTTAATTAGCCCACATGTTAGGGCTTTGCTTTGAACTACAAGTGTGTGTTTTCGGTATTTTATTTATTAAAATTTTTCCCAGTTGCAATTTAAGATTTGATTATTTTATTTATAAAGGGCATTTTAGTAAAAGTAGTACCCGGCCGGGTTAGGGTGTTACAGAAATATAAGGAGTCTTAGAAATGGATAGTTGTGCGAAAAGTTGTCTAAGACATTTTTCAATTTCAAGCTTAAATTCGAGACTTGGTTCTTTAGAAAGTTCAAAAGGTTTGAAAATAGATGAATTAAGTTTATTGGAAGGAGTATTAGAAGTAGACGCCAAAGACAGAGGTAGAATGATTTCAACATTAGTGAGTTGATCTCCTAAAATTGAAGGAATCGGTTTGTATAATTGTTTTGCTCAATCAGACGAAGAATACCTTCTCCTTTGACATGGTCACTATTTTCTCATTTCAATTAAAAAGGAGAGGCTTGAACTGCTGTTCCACAATAAGAAAAATTAACGGGAGCATAAGAAGGGTGAATAGATTGGATCTTAGAATTATTAGCAGTCAACCAAGTCATAGGCTTGGTTTGAATATTTATCAAAGCCTGAGAAAAGACTTGTTCAAACCAATTAAAGAAAAAAATAGTGTTCTTGTGTATTATTGAGATTGCAAAGAAGGAGTTTTGTATAAGAACACACTCATTTTTAGAGTAATCAGTTAAAAATTGTTCACGTTTAAAACGGTTACGTTGGGAATAGAAATCGTGGTGAAGAAATTCTTTGTTGATTTTGAACTCTTGTTGAATAACATCAAGAGCAGAAGGTATTTCTTCTTCAGCAAATGCAGCTAAGAAAAGTGTTGAACCGTTGTCGAGCATGTTCTGTCATTTCAGGGTCTATGTCAGAAATGCTAGAGATGGTGTTCCTATCAAAAGAGATGTTAACAATACCATCAAGGCGTTGAGTAATTCGATTAACCTAGCGATGGTCGATGCTTCTGGGAATGGTAGCTCCTTCAAGGGTCCATTTTGAAGGAAGAATAACTTCTCCCCATTTAATAGTTTTGGGAGTGACGGTGCAAGTATGAGTTAAATCAGTTTGCCAAAGTAATGTTTCTCCTTTTGTACCATATTGAAGAGATTTAGAAGAGAAAGCAGATTTCATAGCTTGATAGTGTAGGCGGTAAACCAAAGAGATAGGTAAAGATCCTTGTTGGATTTTATAGTTGAAAGTTTTTATTTGTAAGGTTAAAACATCTAAAATATTTTTATCTTAAAGAGAGACGGTAAAATTTGGAAACAATTAAAATAAATTCGGCCATAACAAAGACTCGATTCTGCAGTTCCAATGACACGTCCCGTCTCTTTTCAAAAACAAAACCATAACTCAAACCAAAACCTGGTTACTCCGGAGCAACCCAAACAACTTTTTAAAATAAATAAACCGACAATGTTTAAGAATTTCAAATAAAAAGACTGAACACTTGGGCAAATGACAATCCCAATACTTAAAATGAAAGAACTCAGGATCTCCAGTTTACACTCCTAACCATGTAACAAGGAAAATAAACTATTCTAGCTCTGACTCTTCACGAGTTCCTTTACTTCTCATCAATGCTGGTGCAGCTGCTCGCATCGCCTTGCCTCTTCTTGCAGTCCGCCTCTGCTAACCCTTCCTCGACCTGGTGAGTGAGAAGGGGTCAGTCTCGTCGTTACTTCCTAAGGTCTTTGCCCTAGGCAAACTCCTTACTAAACACATTATTAGGGGAATGCCTTCCTTAGACGAAAGTCGTTCTCACTTTCATCCCTTAAACTTTACTATCAAACAGTCTACAAGAGATCTCTACTCTTATCTTATCTTTAGAATTTCGTTACTTATATTCTGAAGCCATAGAAACCAACACTAGGGACCACCGCGTTACGTCTCGCTGTCCGGTGTCCATACCCTAGTATGCCAACCGTGTTACGTCTCGCCGTCCGGTTGCATACCCAAACTCGGCAATGGCACTGCGTTACGTCTCGTTGTCCAGTAGTGACCCAACATACTCGATCAATTGCTGTGTTACGTCTCGCCGTCCAGCAGTGATCCGACCATCTACCGCGTTCAGTAGTGGCCCAACCGCCCGGGAGTTCCTCATACCATCAACCATACAAACATACATACATTCATACATAGCACAACGCGTGCCTCCACCCTTATAGGCGGTGGGATGCCTCACACACATATCACACATTACTAAAAAATTAACTAATTAATAACTTGAACGAAAAGCATAAACTAAAAGACGTACGACTCAGATTTTTACCCCTTTACACTCACCTAGAAAATATGACTCCTCAATTCCTTCCTATAAGAAACCCCTCCTTAGCCGGATTATCTTGGGAAAACCTATTAATAAGAATCCATTTTCTTAGACGACATTTCTCGATTTAAAACCCCTTTTAAAACACTAGAACATCCTCTCCTCATACTCCAGTCCTTGAACCTCATTCCAAGGGTCCTTTATCCCCTATTTAAATTTTCTAGAATTAATCCCTTCAAAAACCACCATTTTTCTTACTTATTTTTATCTTGGACGAATTTTCCACCTAACTATAACCATCTTATAAATTTGGATAATAATTTTCCTACATCAATCAAGAGTACCTATACCCTG